CCCCCGTGATTTAAAGTGTCAAATGCCTTTTTGAAATCTATGAAAATAGCAAATACTGTTTTTTTTATCTTTAAGAGAACTATTTACGTCATCCACGAATTTACATAGAACCGTAGCCGTGCTTCTCTTAGGCCGAAAACCATGCTGAGCGTCGTTAATTATTTTGTGATTTTCCATAAACTGTGTTATCTGGCTAACAATATTTTTTTCTACAATTTTATTTATTACATTCAGAATAGCGATAGGTCTGTAATTAGAGAATTGATCATGCGGTCCCTGCTTATAAATTGGCCTTATAATCGCTAATTTTAGGTCGCTAGGATATGCTCCTTTTTGTATACATAAATTTATAAAACGTGCAATTACGGGGGCAATTTTAAATTTTATCTCCTTCAAATCAATTACTCTAATACCGTCTGATCCCGGCGTTTTACTACAGTCCAAATTCTCTATCACTTTTAGCACTTGATTAGGTAATACTTTTCTATATCTAAAACTCCCAATACTTTCTTTAACATATGTATCCCGTTTTAAAAATAATAACTCTGAAATTTATGTTGACTTTTAATTTGTTCATTTTAGTAAATGTTGAACTTTTTAATTTGTTCTCAATTTCAGTAGTAAACTAACCCGTAGCACAGAATCCTTCGCATTAACTTGCTGAGTAGACTGTTCTAATTGTTTAAGAATGCCTGGAGTAAATTTTCTAAGTAGACGTTTTTATGTATGACTTCACTTTGACACGATTCTTGTTGAAGCAACATATTGAAGGCCGTTTAGATCATACTTTTCATTACTAGGCATTCTCTCTTTCTTTTCCTTTAACTCTTGTAGCTCCGTGTATTTGTGATACATTTTATGACTTCTTTGACCGATATATTTCCTCTTTCTCCTTTAAAGATAGTCCTAGTGATTTTTCAGTCTAGTGATTTTTCAATCTCCGACGTTTCCCTTCTTTATGTCGTTTATCTCATTCTTCAACTCATAGAAACGGGAGTTCTGTTCATTTTTGAATGTATTTAGGAGTGATGTCAGGGAGCTCATCTGTTCACTTAGAAGAACTAAGGTTTTATTGATGTCTTCATGATTACAGCAAGATGTTCTCTGCCTCCTACACTCACGAGTCCTACTGGAATCACTGTCGGAATCCTCGTCTATTCTTTTCTTCTTTTGCCGTACATTTATCCACTTATCGATAGTGGGACGTCTTTCTTGTAGGTTAGCCACATTTGGTTTAGAGCCATAGGTCTTATCTTTACTAGGCGTACGTTGCATTTCTACGTTTAAATAGGCCTATGAAATGTTTAAATAGGCCTACGAAATGTTCCCGCCGGCACCGTGCTGAGTCACAGCGGAGGTCCGTTGTTGTTATGCGTGGGGAGGAAGGGCGGAGCTACCTGCGCTTGCACTGCCTATAAAGTTAACTGCAATCTAATGATCCTTGTCTTCCGCATATGTTTGTCTCTGTCACTTCTTAATAAATTACGCGTAACCCAAGGACGCGTCCGACGCGTGCACGCGATCCACGAGAACATATATTACACATGTGAAAACGAGATAAAAATTATGAATATTATATAAATGAAGCTAGGACATTTAGTGTGCATTTAATTATTGTTAGAATTTATTTCTTTTTAATGTTTTAAAATTATTTCATATAAATACTCGTACTTATAGTTTGGTCAACATAACAACTGTGAATATTAAAATAGGAAAAAATAAAATAAAAATACTCAAAAATCTTCTATATTGCAAAAACTAACAATTTTATTTCGAAAACAACCGCACGGGTTATGGCGTGCGAGCGAAAGTTAGTCGGGTGTATATAATGTACTTTTTTAAATCAACTCACAAGGTGTCGGAATGTGCACGCACGGGGATAGAAGCGCACAGTCGGTAAATTAATTTGAATAGCATTAAAGTTTACCGGAGCTTTCAAATATACTGCGAATGGAAGGCCGGATTTGAATGACAAAGTCAACTGGCGTCATTTCACGGCGCCTGCCACCTGCTTTCATAGCTCCATAGCCGCAATACTAAATACGAGGATTACTGCGGCTACCGCGCCGTACTTTCCGAGTCTTGCGCTGCGTTTAATAATGCACCGCGCTGAAATTCGCTTAATTGAAAGCGCCGCCGGAGATGTAAATCCGTTTGCTTTTCTTGTTTCAATAGATAATGCGGAACTGTAAACAGCTCAAGATAATTAGGTACGGACCACGAAAGACCTTACACCTTACGCTTTTTGTAGTAGCTGTTTTTGGTGGACGTCTCCTCTCTTCAATAATCCTCGAACATGCATATTTACACTTCATTAGCATTTCAAAAGACGCTTTTTATACATTTGTTTTAAAAAATCCACTGTTTTAACTAAAACTCTTTTTAACCGTGAACCCATTGTGACCTGAATTTATTACGTGAAAAGCTTTTTACTATAAGCAAAATTTCCATAGATATAGATTAATATTCGCCTATGAATTTTCATTAGAGTGAATCTTAAAATTTAAAAACTAACCTAGAATGAACCATGTTCGGATATATTTGTACAAGATGGGTGATTTACATATTAAGAAGACTTTGGTTGAATTAATTTTATTGATCACTTTAGGTGTTTCTCTATATCTGGATATGTTATAAGTTAAATATCAGACGCATAGAAAATTATACTAAGCGATTTTTTTAATGATTTAGCACCGACCCTTAGCAGAATCTTGAATGAATTCGGCTTTAAATACGTCTCGTTTCCTCGTAACGATTAGTTCATTATATTATGAATATAGCCATTGGAATAGTTGCAAGCTGCTCATTTATATGTTTTCGTTTGCTTTTGATTATAATTCTTTTTTAAACTAAGAATCTTATTGCATTTTTTTTATTTCGAACTGGCCAGCACTAGACTGCCATCCCACCTGATGGTAAGTGGCGATGCAGCCTTTGATGGTAAGCACGCTAGCTCAGTAAAACCCTATTCACTCTTGCCTTAAAGACGCCAACGCATATCCATTGTGTTTTTAAAACAAGCTATCACATTCGGAATTTACGGAACGCTTTATTGATGGTGCCGAGTATGAGTTAATAGATTGTCTGTCAAAAGAATTTCTCCCGGCGTAATAGATGCCAACTTGAAATTTCAATCATTCCGACCAGCGACCGTATTGCAACTGAAAGATGAAACATCTCCTTGGACAGTGTTGAATACCGCAAAATCGCCGAGTGTCACACACGATTTGATCGTGCCGCGTTTAACAACATTTTTTTTTTCTAACATAGATTTTACACAGCCACGCTTGACACCATTAACAGAGATTAGTTTTTGGGGAGTCGTATGTGTTTCCACGATCTCCATATTCCTGTTCTATTTTTGGCTACTATGTCTATTTTTACATAAAACATTGCCCTAACTTTAGGACTTTATACCGGACTTTATATTTATCCTTACTAATATTATAAAGGCGAAAGTTTGTATGTATGGATGGATGTTTGTTACTCTTTCACGCAAATATTACTGAATGGATTTTAATGAAAATTTACAATAATAAACCTTATACATAAGAATAACACATGCGCTATAATTTATTTACATATTTTTATGTATATCTGTCTTTCTGTCTGAATGTTATGCCTTCAGTCTATTCTACTCAGACGTAGTCCGCGATTAGTATTTAATAAATCGCAGCAGCTAGTATTTAATAAATCATCATCATCATTTCAGCATGTAAGAATACACTGCTGACATAGGCCTTCCCCATAGACTACCATGTAGCACGATTCTGAACCACCTTCATCCACCGACGTACCGCATACATTCAAAGATCGTGATTACCCCTAGCGGGGGGTAGTCCTGCACCATTTAAAACTGTTTTAGCAAAATAAATATCAAAACGTAAGAGCTGGTTGAAATATATTTATTTTATCCCCAACATTCAATACATCTAAATATCTGATCTTACATTTCTATCAGTAATGGTGCAAATAAAAATAACTATTTACTTTTCACGAAGCTTATTAAGCTCCAGAACGTGACTGAAAATCAAAACGGTGGGAAATATGAGAAATTGATTTTGAATACTACTATTGTGAATTATAAAAAGACACGAAAATATGGATGGGGCACAACACTATTTCCTTCCGTGAAAATTTCACGTAACATGACGCAACGCAAGTCACACTTCTAGAAAACCACGTTTTCTCAATAAAGTAAAATTTTAAAATGGCTATGGTGGTTGAAATATCAAATGAGAATATATTTGTTCTTTCACGCAAATCCCTCTAGCGGACTCGTAAGCTGAATCTAGTGCCATACATTCATCCTTGAGACCCTTATCCATCCGAATTTGTTTGGAAAGCCTCTCGTGTACAATATTTGCATATTTTTGCGTTACGTCTACTTCCAGTTTGTTTTACAACATTTCCTTTGAGATGTTGTGTATAGGAGTAGCACGAACCTCCAGTTTGGGTTTTTATTATAACGTTCGTGTTGGAATTATTTATAGATATAGTTCTACCAACACAAAGTCTGCGTATTCATCATGAACACATAATAGATATTCGTATTATTCTTAACCTTATTTATATCTTCTATTTAGATTATATTTGTGTCCTTTTTTCATTATGGAATGACTCTGTAAGGCAGATTAAACCCGGTAAAAGGGTAATTTTGTACAGTAAAGGTTTTTACTATATAATTTAATAACGTGCAAGCAGTTAAGATGGATGAGCTTGGAAACCTTTTCTCTTCAGAAACTAAATAAGTTTGTTATTCTTTGACAGATTTTCTTGTCGTGATAATGGATGCGGGGCTGCTTTTTCTTCTCATCGGATAACATTATTGAAATTTTAATTAGATTACTTGAAGCTACAATAAATGGCTAAATATCATTTAACATTATTGTGATTCGAAACTAAGCTACAAACAATTTATGATAGTGTTCAGTTCAGTTCTTTTCGTTAAGTTTTTTTCTTTCGTAATATATAGAATTCGTACTTGCCAAAAAGAAGCTATGCTGATATTTAGCGGACAAGATTTGCAAAGCATGGGTATGTGAGAGAACTAAAGCTATTACTAGAAATCGTCATGTAACGTGTTATATGATGATTTCTAGTTCTCGACCGCGATGCCGATGTGTTAACTCTTTTCAGCGTTCATGATGATGAGACTGGCTGAGGCATTGGACGTCTGAATATCATTGTTAGCCCAAGCTACCGCCAGGTTTAAGTTATTATTTATGTGTCCGATTTACACTAAATGTACTAATTCTATCTTGTCCTGCAGTATTGTTTCGTTTCAGCCTAGATTGAATTATATCGGTGATAGGATCCCAAGCTGATGGTAGCAACCATACACTCTTTCTCATTGAATTTTTATACTACTAAATTTTCCTATAAAAATATGTTGAATATCATTTCAATATATTTTTGCTATTTTTTCATAGATTTCAGATATTATATTTCCTAATTAATAATTTCATTTTTCCATCTCTATAGCATTCCGTACCTTGGTATATCACTAATGCATTCTATGTAAGAATACAGTCATATAATACGTCCTCTACGGATTTTTTTTTCTTTCGAACCTCAAATTATATTAACATTCTTCCTTCATGACCCCTAAATGTTTCAAACGTGAGCAACTGAGTCGTTTAGTTTTTCTTCTTTTATCTACAATTTTGTTAACTTCGCTTCTTGTGAATGTTAAATATTGTTTCTATCTATAATTTTGGATTTTCGTCCGCGCCGGTTCAGAGAAATATTTGCCGAGGGCCGTCAACCAGGCTCCAGTCTCGTTACGAGGCTCGCAATTGAGTGTATTGACATTGACGGTTCGTTAAAGACGGCAGCATGCAAATTTCACGCAGCATAGGAGAAACAGCGTTATAGCAAGCTCTGATATGGCAGCTGAACACGTCACAGTTGACTACTTGTACTATTAACAGTTGACGTCAGCCACTGGCTGCTAGGCAGCCGGAGCTATATCGGCGTTTTCTTCATTTATCCTTACTTACTTTTTTTATTTATGTATTTTAGCTTCATTGCTACACCTTAAGCTAATATAATAATAGGCGGACTTAATGCCTAATGGCATTTTCTACCAGTCAACCCTTGTTATGGTGAAAAGTAGATGGATGGTAGGTGCTAAATGAACACTATAAAATTTAAGTTAATAAATGTGCCATGAAATGTAACATATAAGTAAGTATAAATATGTACATAAATAAGTAAATATATAGATACATACATATAGAAATATATTTCTATATGTATGTATCTATATATAGAAATTTTTAACTTTTAATCACATTTCAAAGTAGGCAAGAAGGTGGCAAGTGAACTGGCGGTGCACGTGTTATTAAATGATAACCGCCGCCGTCGTAGGGCTGCAGATGCGTTGCCATCTTTTAATAATGTGGACCCCCGTTACCTCAGTCATCGCAGAAGTGTAACACATCTTCTTCACGCCGGTCTTCGGTGAGGTCGTGGTACTCCTCTCGTGGCGCATCCGGACCAGCCTAATAGTTCAACACCAAATCTTTTTTGCTTCGACCTACCTACCTCAAAAAAAGAATTGGTTGATATGATTTACACTTATGACAATTGTTCAGCGATTTAATATTTTGTTATTTTTATGCCACACTTGTCATTTAATCGATATGCTGACATTATAACAATGGCACAATGGGGTTACGGAATATTTTTACTGTCATAACAGATGCAATACCGATTCCCTGGTAATGTTGGTTCTGCCGTTTTTATATTCGACACGTTAGACGCCGTTGCGCATTGTTCTGGGCTCGCCTGAACTGCCCGTAGTCGGATTTGAATTACAAAGTCGGCACGGGCCTTTTTGCTGCCCCATCTGTGACTCCGTATTACTATTCTATGGCCACCGGGTGAAACCCTAAGTGTGTTAGCAGCGAAAAACCAGGTATCACTTCTGACTTATTGTATAACTAGCTATTCGCCCGCTGCTTTGCTCGCGTTGAAGCACTTAATTAAATATCTTATACCCTTTATAACAATTTTTTCCAATTAAAAAATGTCCTTTCTCAGGCACTAGACTATCTGTGTACGAAAATTAATTTAAATCGATCCCGCAGTTTTGGCGTGAAAGCGAGACAGACAGACAGACAGACTTCCTTTCACATTTATAATATTAGTTTGAATGTGTTAATTGTAAATGACTTTAATATGTGATGTTATTAATAACGATTTCGTAATCATATGAATTTAAATTAATTTTGAATTAATCGTAAGCATATGAATTTAAAAGACAAAAAGATGTATTTTTAAGCTTTGAAATTATCATTAAAGTGATTTAATTAATATTCAAGGGTGGAACTTTCACCGTTGATTAAGGCTCTTTTAAATATTCTCTTATTTTTAGAAGACAGTTGTTTTTGGTAAAATTGTTGCAGTAAATTATAATTTTTTTGTGGCCAGTCAATGTAAAGTTTAGTATACTAATATGGAAAGGGGAAGCACTTGAACAATGTTACTGACTTTATATTATATTGAATATACTCGTACGAGTGGAATTGTAAGCGAAATGTTGTGCGATACATCCATCTTAAGCCCCCTTATCCGACCGAATTTGTTTCGAAAGTCTCTCATATGGAAATTCTGGAGGACTGCATACTCCTTGCTTACAATGACCCACATTTCAGCGCTGCCACCGATTGTTTTTAAGAATCGTGGACCGAACATAACAGGAGTGTACATTTTAATTTTATTTTATAGTAAAGCTTTTGTGGAAAGTTAAGAGAACGGCTTGGAAAACAATGTTTGTAAAAGATAATTTTATACTTATGTCGTCAGATTTCTACTGTTGTATACACTGTTGTATTTAACCATTGTCTCAATACTTACCAATGTAAGAACTGTTAGTTGCTAGAGTAGAAAATCGTATACATCGTTGTATTCAAACATCGCGATGGTTCTTACATTGGTAAGTAATGGGACAATGCATTGGTAAATTCAGCAGTGTATACATTAGATGGTTGTTTAATGTTATGCTAAGTAAATTCATAATTGCCTTAACTAAATGTTTCGTTCTTGAAATCCTCTGAATGGATTATAGCAAATCTTTGCACACGCCTCGAGCGGGGAAAGCTAATACTTTGGCCTTTTCACCGAGCACGTTTGTTTACACGTGCAGTTTATACTAAATCCTTAAGTTGTGCTGCTGAGAGCAAACATTACAGGGGAACATATATAGAACTTATAGGGGAATAGCTATTTACCCCGAGATATACGGGTACTCCAAATGTTTCCAATGGAACTATGTTTATTGTATAAAGGCAAAGAGCAAAGAAGCGACGTTGTCTGTACATTATACGACAACAAAGTTTAGAAATATTCTTCTTTGATAAAGACGAATGGCATCACGAATGGCACGTGTCTCAATGTTCTTATACCGTTTCAAAACGTGATCGACCTTTTGTGCAATGGCTTTGTAAGATTTACAATATAAAGACAACGTTAAACAACAGCAAGTATGAGAACGTGCTATATATATGTAATATATCATAATAACCTTAATTCTGTTTCAATAACCTATTCTATTTTATCTATTAACTTGTATAACCATGTTATACAGTGTAAACTATAGCCTTGGTATAGTCAAGCCAATGGTAGTGATGGTAACACAATTTTTTATAGAGAAGGCTCGTAAGAGCAAGAAGCCAGATTTCTTTTTTGGAATTTTTATCTGTTTTGGAATTAGAATGAAAATAAAACGAGAAAGTATTATTATTTAAAAGACAACAATAAAAGTACAATGTATTTTATGTTGTGCTCGTTTAAATGTTAGCATTGTTTACAACTTTGACTCGTAAAAGTGGGAAGGATAAACTTCTATTGGGTACAGTATCCTCATAAAGAAATAGTGCCTTGAATTGTCTTAGAATGAGTGATAAAAAATCTGAAGATGCACTTCATTATCGAGAGGATGTGTGACACTTTCTTTAATTAGGTTAGTGATTAAGTATATGGAAATCATGATTATTTTCGACGTATTTAAAAAAAATTATGTAACTAAGCAATATCAAATCATAGGTATAGTATAATATTATAAAGTATAAAGAAAGAATAATGATGATGAGAATTGTTAAAAAAGTCACTATCTTGATTTTATTTAATAATTTAGATAACATTCCAAAAAGTATACCATTATCATGACTTAGCCTTTCTGAGCCGACGGCTGAACATATGGTTTCCCCACCAGACTGCCACGAAGCACGATCCTGAGCCACCTGCACCCGTTGACTTTCTGCAGATTTGGGAGGTCGTTAAACTGCATTGGCCAATACGAAGCTGCCACTCGAGAATCATATTTAAATATATAGATATAATTGAGAATCATTATAATCTATACAAATATGATTTAATTCAAAATGCTCCAATTAAAGATTTTACGTTTACAAATTCGTCCTTGCCATTATTTTTTAAGTCATAACTTTTTCTTTGTTATTAGAACTGCCTGCCGAGAAGCCGTCGATCAAGGCAGAGAAGGGTTGGTACGCATCAGGCGATTCTCTCAGAGCACAGTGTTCTTCGCCACCCGCCGACCCGCCGGCCAATCTCACGTGGCTATTGAATGGACGAGACGTAAGTTTTTCTGTTTCTTTAATTTCGCTTTAGTAGAATATTCCGTATAAGCCACGTCTATTGCATAGACGGTGTACAATCAAAATCATGCCCGGTACTTTACCATAACATAAAAAGTATGTATTATACATATTAAAACAAAAATTCTAGTAAACAGTAGAACAAGGCTTAGTCCTAATGCAATGCAAAACAAAATAAGTTAAAAAAATTAAGGTAAAATTACTGGTCTATAAAATACTTATGATTTTTACTTTTAGAAAATTGCTCCATCTACTTCTAGCACAGATTGATCACTTATTCATAATTAACAATCAATTTAAAAAAAGATCATTTTAACTACAACTAATATTACCATAGAAAAATCCAGAAAAACGTTGTTTCCTTAAACGCACTGTTTTTTTTAACACGGAGGAAGATAATAATAGGAATGAAAGAAAAGGTAAAAAAGTTTTTCCCTTTTTCCGATTTCGGGAAATATTAATCGCGTTGAGCTATAGGGGTTACTTGAAATCGAGCGCACCATCGTGCAAGTGGAGCACCCTTTTGGTCAATTTTGTTATTTTTCCATCAAAACAGACGTAGTGCAGACTTCTAGCATAGTTGTAAAAGAGCCGGTCAAGTGTGAGTCGGACTCGAGCACGAACGGTTCTGTAACATTATCTATAAGAATTTGATAAGTAAGTACCGATAGTTTGTCTGTCAACTGTTGTCTAGCAACCGCTTCGCGTTTGTTGTGTAGGAGCCCCCTTGAATATTTTTTATTTTATTCTGTTTTTTAGTATTTTTTGTTATAGTGTCAACAGAAATACATCGTCTGTGAAAATTTCAACTGTTTATGACAGTTCATAAGATACAGCCTGGTGACAGACGGAGAGACAAACAGACAGACAGATAGACAGACAGAGGAACACTGAGCTATCACGGCTTTAGCAAGTAATATATAATATTAGAAATGCCAATTTTTAATCACATTTGACAATTCGCTAATAAAGAAAGTACTAGATTAGCCTTCTAAACCTTATATTATTAACGATAACAAGACATCTAAAAGCAGCTAAATTCGTTTCCATTAAGCAAAACAGATGCGATTTGTGATTGTAATTGGTTTTTCCTTCGCTTCTTACTTGCTTTGTCCCACAGCGTTTTAACAAATTGTACATTAAAATCTTTACGAAGCAAATTTATTCAGAGCTCAAAAGCATTAGCATGTTCAATTATTTATTGGGACGTTTTCTAAAACATTTCAAATAGATTATTTTACGATAGCTGTTTATTTATTGTATAAATTTGTTAATTGTTTAAATCTAAATAATTTTTTTTCAATCAAGTAGTTAATAATTACTTATTATATTTTAAGTTTTATCTTAATTTTGCTTACAACTACCCACAACGCACTAACTTTTCGTTTCAAATTTAATCAGATTAACAAATCATTGTAAACTACAAAAATTATATAGAAACCATAAATTTATTTCCCGAAGAAAATATTTTACTTTGTATTATTTCGATCTATGAAGGATTCAAAAATAATTTGAAATATATTTATTAATTAAATTAGTACAAATGTGTATGTAGTTATTTTCCGGTCTAGGCAGGCGAACTAGCCATATAGATGACTCGTCGGTGTCGGGGGTCATGGGTTCGATTCCCACAAGGGACAACTATTTGAGTGACTCACAGATACTTGTTTTACGTCTGCGTGTTTGTCTACGTGAAAGTTACGTTTGGAAAACGTCCTCACAACACAGGATTATGTTATCCTAAAGTAAGGGCAATGTTAAAAATCAAAAAATTACAGTTGATTTTTACGACGTATACTTGTAAATGTTATAATATTTGTGATGCTTACATGTTGATTTTAAACATGTTTAACGGCTTTTATATGTTTAACATAATAAGGATCTATTAAAAACACCGTATTCCAGTTTGGAACCGATCAAGACTTCATGGAGGGGCAATAAGTTGTAAATCTCCTAATTGCATGTAACTGAACGTTGGTACCCAAACAGCTAAATTTAATCAAAATCAAAATCAAAATCAAAAATATATTTATACATTGACGCTTGCGCGTTCTTATGAAACGTCAACATTTTACATAAAAATTGATACGTTCGTAAGTGTATTATAGTATCATGCTTTTATTTTGTGTTTGTATATCTCTAAATAGGTATAACTTTTTACTTTACTTTTTACGAATATTCCACGAAGTGAATGAGTTATACTTCAGCATTTCGATGGGCGAGTAAGGTATCCAGGGCCCACTTTATTTCAAGGTGGCAACAAATCTGCAACGTGTTGCAAATGTGCATAGGATGCTTATCACATAACATCAGGTGAACCGCCGACTTTCAAGCATGCCAAGTTTTCAAAAATAAGCACAATAGGATGGAACTCAATGTGTCCAAGTAAATCGATTTCTGAAAGAAAGCGGACTTGGATGCATTTTAAAAACATTTTATTAATGTCAAAAGTGGCACGAAGATGTGAGGAAATTCCAGCTGACGTTTCCACGTACTCTTGAACAATGTTCAATTCGTGTTTGAACAAATTCAATAACGGCGGGCAAATATCAAGTCTTTTGCGCGCGGCCGCGAATATGACACGGCATGTGCAACTTTATCGATATCGATTTTGCACGGAATGCGAATGCCGTTCTTAGTTTTACTAAGTTTGTTGTGGCGTAAATATCGATTTTTACACGATTTGTTGCGGCGCAGCCTTACTGCGGCAGCTTTTTCTGTACTAATAGCTGGTTTGATGGTAAACTGTGACCCACATAGTTTGATGTCGCGGTCAGGTCCGTCCGGGGAAGTACCACGACCTCACAGATGAACGGCGTGAAGTGGAAGTGCTATACTTCTGCGTTTCGTATGGTGAGTGAGGTAGCCGGGACCCACTTTATTAGGTGGCAACGCATCTCCAACCCTACGGGTGTTGCAAATGTCCATGGGCGACGTTGATCACTTAACATCAGGTGAACCGCCGTCTCGCTTGCCACCTTCTCGCATTAAAGAAAAATAATTGTAAATTTCACATTTAAATATACTTATATACGATATGTAAGATTTTCTACCCAAGTGTATCACTCTAAAAAGCATTTTCAGTTCATGAAACCTTCAGTTAAATATATACATGTGTGGTTAAATAGAAACGAACCATTGCACGTGAATTTATTTGGGATGGTTTAAATGGAATTAAGTTGTAATTAATCCCAAAGGCTCGGAGGTCAAAGTCATTGCTAAGCGAACTCGCCGCGAATAATTTAGAGGCGTTCAAGTTGGATTACGGTTGAGACATCTTAAACCTTAATTAGGGATTTATGTTCATACTGTGGCAATCTTCTTTAATAAAAATATATGAAAACAATTCTTTCGAGCATTATGTTTAATAAAACTGATATTACACACATCTCACTCTTAAACTGTTAGACAGATGCTGTCAATTTTCATGTCGTGTCGTCTTCTAACCTGTTTTTAGAGTTCTTTATCCAAAGGGTAAAACGGGACCCTATTACTCAAACTCCGCTATCTGTCTGTCTGTCACCAGGGTCTATGTCATGAACCGTGATAGTTAAGACAGTTGAAATTTTTACTAACGATGTTTTTCTGTTGCCGCTATAACAACAAATATTAAAAAACAGAATAATAAAATATTTAAGTGGGGCCCCCATACAACGGATGTGATATTTTTTTCGTTATTACATTACACGGAACCCTTCGTGCGCGAGTACATTTTGTGGGTTTTATATTTACGTGGGTAAAATGCCTACGTATAATCGCCCATACAGAGGCAGTGACGTACCCTATGCCAGCCCAGGGTGCCTATAGTCAGAATTAGATAATGCTTCTTTAAACAATCAACCTATCCCCCACAATCTCCTCGTATCCAGTGAACTCAATGAGCCCACGTGGAGCTACAAGAGTCAGTTTTATGCCTGGTTCAGTGTCGGTTCGCCGAAGAGGGGGAACCCAAAAAACCTCTTCAAAACTTATCAGGATAACATTAATTAAAATCAGAAGTAAGTATACTTTCACCTCTTGCTCCCTGACCCCTTTCTTCCTTATCTTTTCAACTTTCTTACATTACGGTAAACTGTACGGACTAGTTAAGAATACCAATTCGGTTTAACCCCGTATCCACAAAGGCGCTTAACAAAGGCGAACATAATTTTCCCATATTTATTGCGTTACAATACCACCTACGTTGTTATTGTTTGGATTGTAAGCCGACTCTTCGAGTGCGTTTACTTCGGTACTCGCCAATCCTTTGCCCTCATTTGTATTCCGGTCGCGCATTTTATTCCGCCATTACGCGTTTCCAGTGTTCCGCGTCTACTCTCATAGAATTACACATTCGACGTGAATCGTGCGTCTACATGAAAATTATTACGTTGTTTACATCTTTATACACTCCACTGTCTGTTAAAATGAAAGCTGATTTACGTTATGCTCATTTCATTTGTACTTTGAAGTTGAATTTGCTGCAAGACGGATTTTATAACACATTTACTTAGTACCATTTGATATTTATATTTCTCATATACATTCTTCGTATTCTTTTTTTACAAAAAGAGACGTTTTTATCCGTCTCACATTATTGCTACGTTTTTAATTATTAGATTTTGGATAATGGTGATAGATCTTATCCCATCATTTCTAATATCCTGAGGCCACATAGCAGCTTCTGTCATTACATGAATTAAACGGATTGGCACTTCTGTTTAAAATAACTTAGATTCGCCCTTTTTAATAATAACAAGTTAAAACCAACCCTTTATTTAGGTTTAACTCACCTCGCTTTGATAACCTATTTAAAAGATAAGTTATTTTCAATAGGAAAAAAAAATAACTAGAAATATAAATCTAATTCATTGCCTTTTAAAGTAAATGCCATGATTAATTCAGGATTATCTGGATTCGGAGAATATGAGATATGAGTCTCAGTTACTCCGAATATAATTTTAAAACAAAATTATATTTGCAAGGTTAATGTTGGCAAAA